CCTGCTGGCATGCCTCGTAGGTCTCGAAGCCCCGGGCCGCCCCGTCACAGCCACGGGCCGGGAAGGTCATGCAGCTGCCCCGCTGTGGGTCAAAGTGCCAGAGGACAAGGTGTGGGGAGGTGGGGCCCGTGCAGGCCTGCACATCCGGCAGGCACTCGGCAGGGGCTGGGATGCTGGGGGCTCTGTCCCTGGCCGGCTCTCGCTGGACCACAGAGAGTGGGAAGTCAGCCCGCAGCAGGCCAGCCGCATTGCGCGCGGTGCAGGTGTACAGGCCAGCGTCTTCCAGCCGCGCGTTGTAGAGCACCAGCTGCCCGATGCTGGTGACCACTACGTTGCCGTACATCTGATCAGGGCGCATGATCAGGTTCTCCCGCTGGTGACTCTGCTTCTCCCAGGTCACGGCAGGCGGTGGGCGGCCGCTGACGTCGCAGTGGAGGCTGGCCGTACCCCCGACCTGCACCGCCTGTGGGGAGGGGCTGCTGTACAGGGCAGGAGGCATGGGCGCGGCCCCAGGTGTGGGGCGGGCAGTGGTCTCCGGCGGACCCGGGCTGCTGGGCGGCCAGCTGAGCACGTGTTTGCAGGGCACGATGTGGAGGTGCAGGCCCCGAAGGCAGGCCTCGGCGTCCATGTAGCAGCGGTTGTAATAGGTGAGGCCGTCCGAGGCGCAGGTGAAGCTGGGCTCCTTCTCACAGCGGTCACGGCAGCGGCACACGGGCTGCCCATCCCAGATGTCGCAGTCAGAGCCCTGCTGTGGGCATGCAAAGCCCTCACAGGAGGCCGCTGTTGTGGGTGCGGCTGGGCTGTCGGGGAAGCGTGCTGCCACGCAGCTCTGCAGTCCACACACGTTGGTGCAGCACTTCTCAGCAGTTGCACAGTCCTGGGGATGGGGGACACTTAGGTGGGAGTCCTGATGCCCCCCCGCCCTGGGGGCTCTGGCCAGGCCCCTGCACAGGGAGTCCCAGGTGGGGTAGCAGGGAGCCCCCTGCTCTGTGGCCGCCACCAGGGCCACCTCCCCAGGGACTCGCTGTCCTTTCCATCCCCTGTGGGGAGCCACAGAGCCAGAGGTGCCACCTGGCTTCACCTTCCAGAATCCTCACACCCCCAAGCAAGTTCCATTATTCTTGGTACATTGTACAGATGAGAAAACTGAGGCCCAAGGAGGGTGTACAGTGCTCAGGGCCACCCAGCAGGTGGTGCAGGCCAGGACAAAGGCTGAACATTGGCTGCAGCACCCCCATCACCGTCTACACTGGTCCCAGATGAAAGGAGAAGGTGGGAGGAGAGAATGGGAGGAGAGGGTGGGAGAGGGTGGGAGGAGGAGATGGAAGGAGAGGATGGGAGGAGTGGGTGGGAGGAGAGGGTGCGAGAGGATGGTGGGAGAGGATGGGAGGAGTGGGTGGGAGGAGAGGATGGGAGGAGAGGATGGGAGGAGAGGGTGGGAGGAGAGGGTGGGAGGAGAGGATGGGAGGAGAGGGTGGGAGAGGGTGGGAGGAGGAGATGGAAGGAGAGGATGGAAGGAGAGGATGGGAGGAGTGGGTGGGAGGACAGGGTGGGAGGAGAGAATAGAAGGAGAGGATGGGAGGAATGGGTGGGAGGAGAGGATGGGAGGAGAGGGTGGGAGGAGAGGATAGAAGAGGCAGTAACGGGGTGGGGGGGGATCGCCAGTGGATGATGACGTCCAGGGTAGGGGAGAGGCACATGGGGAGCATGAGAGCTGGAGTAGGAGGGCTCTTATTCTTAAATGAGGGCAACGATGGGAGTGTCTCTGGGCCCCTCAAGGGGCCCAGACCCAGACACCAGTAGAAGTCTGGGGAGCCCGGGCAGAACGTGGCGCCTCCAGTAGGGTCTTGCCCAGGCTGGCTGCCCCAAGCCCCAGGACCCCAGCCCGACCACACTCACCTGGTCCCCGCTACACTCACGCTCACAGGTGCTCTGGGCGTCCACCCACAGGTTGGGGCTGAGCTGGTTGGGGCACACGCCCGGGTGGCTCTCTGGCCCTGGCAGCAAGCCGGCCCCCGAGGTCAGCCGGAGGAGGAGCAGGAGCGGCAGGAGTGGCCGTGAGGCGGGCATGGGGGCCGCTGAGCCAGGGGGCTGGGGGGTGTGGCCACCAGCCCCTCTTCGGGCTCCGCTGAGCCCAGCTTCCTGCAGGCATCCACCCTCCGGGCCTGTGGTTGGCGCCCCCACCAGAACCCCGGGGCTCCCTTTCACCCCTGAGGCCAAAGCTTGCAGCAGATGCTTGTCCTGACGCCCCTGCTGGGTGGGTTACGGGGTCTCTAAGTTCTCAGAGGCGGTCTGTGTGACGCTGGTTCCTCTCCAGCTTCAGCCTGGCCCCTCTGTCTGAACCGTGCGGGGGCTCCCCGGCCCTGGTCAGCACAGGGCAGAGGGGAGGAGGTTGGGGAGGGGCCAGAGGCCCAGGAGCACAGAGCCACTGGCCATGAGGGTCACCGGGGGCGGAGGAGGGCTGGCTCTGGCTGGAGAGGGGGAGGGGAGGGGACCCTGTAACCCGAACCCCTTCCTCCACCCCTGGGCTGAGATCAGTCTCCTTGACGACCCTCAGGAGGGTGGGGGCAGGGCCAGCAGATCCCAGCTTTTGTCCCTGACGCCCTCTGGACCCCAGGCTCCCATGCCATGGGGTGGCAGGCACAGGCCCTCCCCGCGGAGTGTGGCTGATCACAGCCTGGGTCCCTCAGGTCAGGTCCAGGCTGGCAACGGTCACGTGTGTCCGGGTCGGGCCGAGGGCTTCACTCTGCTCCTTTGAGGTTCCTTCCCGTTCCACGGCTGTTGTAGGGGCACAGGGGCCTGCAGCACGCCCAGCACAGCCCAGTCTTCTCTGCTCTGCTGCCCCTGGTGGGGTGGGGCCCAAGCCGGCAGGACTGCATTCCCAGAGACCCCATCCCTGAAACCAGGCTGCGGGCTTGGGGCTCAGACCCGTCCCCAAGGCGGGGCAGGTGCAGCAGGAAGAGGCCTGTGGCCGCCCACAAACGTAAGAACAGCCCCACACGCTGACGCCGGAGCCTCGGCCCACGCACTGCGCAGCCCTGGACGTGGCTCTGCGTGGATGGCGCCGCGCGAGGGAAGGCCAAGTGCAAGGGCGTCTGCAGCTGGAGAGAGCAAGTGTCCTGGGGCACCAGAGCCTTGCCCTGCCCCAGCCCCCCATCAGCAGGGCATACATCCCCGGGCTGGCTCCTCCTCGTCTGGGAGGGCAGGGGGCTGGCCTGGCTGGTGCAGGACAAAGGGCTGCCTGGAATCTACCCTTCCAAACCCTCTGTGGCTCCAGAAGTCTGGGGCCTCAGGGAGGGTCCCCCTGACCCTGTGTCTGACCTCTGACCCAGGAGGCAGGGTAACAGGAACATGGTCTGGTCAGAATGAGACCCAGAGATGCCTCCAGGCGCCACAGTCCCTGCTCTACAAGGGGACGGGGGTGGGGTAGCTAGGCCTGACCCAGCTGCAGGCGGCTGGGCTGGAGCTGCCATGGAGGGGCCTAAGGCCTGGATGAGCCCACGAAACAGCAGAGGGAGGCACCTGAGCCTGAGGCTGTGGTCCCTGTAACAACTGGACACACTTCCGGGGTGTCCACACAGCCCTGGGCCAGGCATGGCAGGCAACCCAGATTGGTCCAGCGTGCAGGCTGCTCTCTGCTGAGGAGGGTGACTGGAGGGCCTGGCCCTCTGGGGTCCTGCTGCTGTTGGGGACAGTTCACCCAGGCCATCTGCTGCCATGGGCCGTGAGCGAGGGCTCGGTACAGCCCAGCTGGGATCCCGTCCACTGGGAAGTGGAGAATGGCCATGACCAGGCCCAGCCGCTCCAGCCCAGGTACAGCCCTCACTGTTTCTTGAGGCGAACCCAGCTAACTGCCGCAGGTCAGCCCGGTCAGCGCAGGGGACAGCAGGCAAAACAAAGGCCAGAGGTCAGTTTGCCTGGTACAAAGCAGCACTGGCCCCTGGCATGGGGCACCACCACCGCCAGACCCACCCCACCAGACACAGCAAAACATGGGGACCACAGCCGAATTCCATTTACTGTACAAAGAACGGTTCGGAAAGAACCAGGAATGGTGGAGTGTCTAACAGCAGTGCGGGTAGTGTTGATGCCGTGAATGTAGGACCATGTAGGTCCTCAAAGTCTGTGTGGTTTGTTCATAATCCCAAACAAGGGCCCTGCTGGCAGCAACAGGACAGGTGGGGCCAGGACAGGGAGGCTGGAGCAGGAGGCCAGTGTCTTTGGGGACTGTGGCAGGGCCGCCTGGCCGGGGTTCCCTTACTCATCTGGCAGCTCATGCAGGCCACGGCCCTCATCTCCCGGGAATGGGCCATGGGGCGAGTCCACTGGTGCCCAGCAGCATCCTCCGTGGGACCACCTTGGGAAGCATGCGCCGTGGAGTCCACCACGGGGGTCCTGGGTCCCGGGAGGGCTCCTTCTGCGTGCTGGCCATGCTGTGCTGCGTGGCCCGAGGGCAGGAGGTAGAGGTGAGCACCAGTGCTGTGGGTAGGCCCAGGCAACTGCTACCCTGCAGAGGGGCTGCTGGGGCAGGCGTGGGCAGAAGCACTGGGTGGAGGAGCAGCCAATGGCTTCAGGAGAGAGGTGGCCGGCCCTGCGTGCCTGGGGCTCAGCACGAGTGCCGGGCTGGTGGGCCTTCAAGGAGGGGCCTAGGCTCCCGAGGTCCCCAGGTGGACGTGGACGTGGATGAGGTGGTTCCAGGCATGTCCCTAAGAAGGTCAGGATGGTTCTGACGCCGTGCGACCTCACAGGAGAGCTGCAGCTATGGGGACCCCAGGGCCAGCGACAGAAGCTGCCGAGAACAGGAGGTTGCACACAGGTGCCCGGGGTCCGGATGCCACCGCCCATCGAATATTCATAAGACTACAGATAGCTCTGCACTCTCCAGGGTGGGAGAGATGATGATCTGAGTTTTGAGTGGTCAATGTCCCCGAAGGGGTCACATCACAGCAGGAAGGTTCTCAGTCCCACGTGGGGAGGGATTTGGGGAACAACAAAAGTATGGGCTCCCAGGCGCACCTCGTTTCTCCTCTCTCCTGAGTGCTGCTTGGGCTCTGACCACAGGACCACACCATCCAGTGCCAGCACAGTGACCACTGAGGTCACCCAAGCTTCCAGAGGAAGCACCGGCCCCGTCTGCTCCCCCAGCCTCTGGGCAGCCTTGCCACTCGCAGCGCACGGATTCACAGGACGCTTTGACCATCGCTGCTGCGAATCCCCTCCCGAGGCGTCCCAAGTGCGCCCCCACAGCTGGCGTGGCCACGAAGTCACCAGCGCACCATGGGGCCACACCCAGGCTTCCCTGAAGGCCCCTTAAAATGTACAAAAAAGGTGAAGTGTTCTCTATATAAATAAGAAAGGCGAGCCAGGCTCCCCGCCGGTCGAGCCCAGGCAGCTGGGGAGGCCCGGCTTGTTTCACACCAAGAAGCACCAGCAGCCCAGCCGCGCCCCCTCCTCCGGCCTGCCGCACGTGCTCCGTGCATGCTGCTCCTCGCACCCGGCTCAGGTGTGAGGAAAGCCCAGTGCTTTTGAGGCAGCTGGTGTGGCCAGTCTCCACGCAGGTGGCACTGGCCCGGCATCCAGCCAGGAGCGTCCAGCTCGAGCCCTCCCAGCATCTGCACAGGCGGCTCTGCCCGTCCCTGCTAGGAGATCTTGCAGTTACTCCGCGAGCAGTTCTGGGGGGGGCTCTGGGGCGGGCGGATGGACTTGGACCTCTTGAGGCTGTTGCCCTTGCTGCCGCCGCCCCCGGCCCCGCTGGCCAGGGAGTAGGAGCGGCCGTGCATCATGACCGCGTTCATGCCGTTGGCCATCGAGAAGGACTTGAGGTGGCTCTTGATGGTGACGGGCAGTGGGAGCTTGTCGATGAGGTGCACGGGGGTGCAGGAGACGATAGCCCGGCAGCAGAGGTCCTGCAGGCTGAACACTGCAGGGCAGAGGGGGTGTCAGACCATGGGGCTGTGGGGGAGGCCCTGTGCAGGGAGACCTGAGGTGCCCAAGAGAAGCCCGGCGGGGTCTCCACACTCCTAGTGGTATCCCCTGGACTGGGATCCTGGAGGACCTGGATGCCCAAACTCCTCTGCCCAGCACAGATGTGTCCACTGCCACGCCATCCCCTGCCTTGCTCCCTAAAGCCAGGCACGCTGGGCAGTGCTGCTGCGGGGCTTCCCGAGGCCGCTCTGCCCAGTTCCTGGCCTGGACGCTGCAGCTCCCAGCGTGACGGCTGCGTGATCTGGCCCTTCGAGCCGACCTGCTCTGGAGCCTCTGCTGTATCTCTGGTTGGGTTTTGACTCAATCTAGCTTGACTGTCACCAGCTCCAGTCTGCAGAGCTGGGGAGGGGAGCTCCATACGGGTGGGGGCTAGGTTATGCTGGCCTGGGGTACAACCAGGCTCTTCACGGCTTCCTGTGCTTGCTTTATGGTTTTTTTTGTTTTGTTTTGTTTTTAGATGGAGTCTTGCTGTGTCGCCCAGGCTCGAGTGCAGTGGCGCGATCGCCCAGGCTCGAGTGCAGTGGCGCGATCTCCGCTCACCGCAACCTCCTCCTCCCGGGTTCAAGCAATTCTCCTGCCTCAGCCTCCTGAGTGTCTGGGATTACAGGCGCCCACCACCGCGCCCAGTTAATTTTTGTATTTTTAGTAGAGACGGGGCTTCACCGTGTTGGCCAGGCTGGTCTCGAACTCCTGACCTCAGGTGATCCACCTGCCACGGCCTCCCAAAGTGCTGGGATTATAGGCATGAGCCACCGCGCCCGGCCCGTGCTTCCTCTTAAGAAGGACAGTGACACTGTCAGCCACCCTCTCTCTGTCCAGTAGTGAACCCTGCCGGGAGGCACCACAGAATCAATAGTACCTTCCTGAGGGGGCTCCACTGGGACCTCTGATCAAGGACGTGGCCTCCCAGGAAGAGAAAATGAAACAACACGAAGCTGCAGGCATGGCTCCTGTGCCCCCCTGACAGCAGGATGCCAGCCCCAGAACCAGGGAAGGAGTGAGAACACACTGCCACACCAGCAATGCCGGGGACCCACAGGAATGGCAGAGTGCAGCTGCCACGGCGGCACCCTGAGGGAGGTCACCAGCTCCTCCTGTGCCCCCTGGTGCTGCTGCCTCTCCCCCGAGGCTACTCTTACCAAGTCACTGGCCTGCTGCCGGCTGAGCCCCTACTGCACATGGCCAAGGGACCTGCCTGAACCTTCCTCACTGGCCCCCGGCCCCCCTCAGCCTCCACGTGATCAGGGCAGCCCGGGTTTGGGGACCACAGGGCTGGCGGGCGCCCGCCCACGCACCTCGGTTGGGCCTCCAGATCTTCTCCATGCCATGCCGCATGAGCACGATGCGGGACAGCTCCGTGAAGGACTCGATGACATTGAAGTTGCACAG